TGAGCTGTCTATCACTTTTTTCTTTTGTTACATAGCTGTCTATCACTTTTCTTCTTGTAACAATGAATTCGTTCGTTCTTTGTTTTTTTCCTAAGAGGAAACGTAGTTTGTTGTCTAAATGTTCATAAATAAGTTCACGGAGTTGCTGACAGGATTAAGCCTAACAAAAAAGACTAATCTGTTACAACATAATGAACCAAAAATTTAAATAATATATAATAGTATCTCAAATAAAATTGTATTCAATAAAAAATTACCTATACGTGGGAAAAAAAAAAGGGAAAATTTCGTTCAAAGACTGCTGAAGGCAATTAATTTCTAAGAGCTCCCAAAACAATCTGAAAAGCCACTGCAGGACCATAGGGGTGAATTGAAATTAACTTCAAAACTAAAAATACAGTGTTGCCCCTCAAACTATTACTCTGAAATTTGAAGTCTTTTCTCTCTCTCTGTCTCTCTCTCTCTCTCAACTCCCGATATCTGAAGCCCCTCTCGCTCACTCTCTAAAAATTCCAGTTCATGCAGTGAAGGAGATCGTTCACCTCACCGTCGCTACTGTTGTGGTGAGGAAAGACTTTGCCATCGTCATTGCTCTGCTGCGGAGAGCCTTTGTTGTCGCCCTTGCTCTAGCAACGAGAGCCTCCATCGCCGCTCCTGCAAGTGTTGGACGAGAGCCTTTTGTGTAGATATGAAGCTGGTTAAACTACAAAAGCTTGCAAGAACGCGAACTCTACATGACTTTATTGCTGAATATAGTTTGTTTTTGTTTTAATAAACAGCTATTTTTGTGTATATATGAACCTCAATATGTATTTTTGGAATGGTTCACGAAGTGGCTATGACAATCCGTGAGTTGAAATCTATTTTGTATGGCGCTATGAATAGATGGAGAATTTCATGCTGGTACTTAGAGGTAAATTGCCCCAAGTACTGAACTGAAACTAGCTAGCAACTATATAAATGTGTGAACAAATTAATCGACTTGCAAATAGACGTATTTTTATTGTTAATGCATGTATTCTTATTGCAAAGTTCCTAATTCCACTTGTAAACAGTCACTTCCAGATTTGTGAATTGACGTGTTCAACTTTTTAAATGAAATAAATCTATTTGCAAAAGGATGTATTTCTATTGTTAACAAGTGTATCCGTATTGCAAATTTTCTAATTTCACTTGTGAACCCTCATTCCCAGACTTGTGATAAACTTTTTCAATTGAACTAGCTTATTTGTAAATGGATGTGTTATTCTTATTAATATACAAATCCTATTTGTAAATTTTCTAATTTCAGTTGTAAATGATCCCTCCCAATCTTGTGAATAATTATGTTCAACTTATTGAATTCAACTAGCTCACTTATAAATGGACAAATTCTTGCTGTTAATATACTTATCCTTCTTGCAAATTGCCTAGGAAGCACTAGTCACAATATCCCTTGTGTGATAGTCATTTTCTATTACTCATGAGTTCATTCATTATTTTGAGTTGGCATTGATGCGTCTGTCTTAATCTATTGACAGTACTTATTGTTGTGTCATAGGAATAATAGACTTCACTAAAGTCTGAGTCGTGGTGACTCATTACTCCAAAAGAAATACGCAATCAGCTGCTATTGCAAACTATTTCAACGGATAAAGACAATAAAAAACAAAACAATGACATAATGTGTTAAAATTTGTATATGGAGAATTTGCACAATTTCTGTTTTAGGGAATATACTATGAGTAGGTTACATGTCAATTAATTACAATTTGATATCTTTTCCCACTAACTTGCAAGTATGTGATGTACTGTTGACAACTCGAATTAGAAAATTTACAATAAGAATATGTTGATTAACACTTTGATGTCATAGGTATTTGGTTGTCATATTGGCAATTAAAATTAGAAAATTTGCAACAAAGATACATTGATTCACAAGAAAAACTTGTCCATTTACAAATGGACTAATATAACTAAAAAAGTCATACATGATTATTCACAAGTCTGAGGAGCACTAATCACAAGTGGAATTAGGCAATTTGCAATATGAATATGCATATTAACAACAATAACCCGTCTATTTGCAAGTGATCTAGTTGAATTCTAGAAGTTGGACATGATAATTCATGTCTGGGAGGGACTATTTGCAACTACAGTCAGACAATTTGCAAGAAGGATAAGTATATTAACAATAAGAATTTGTCTATTTATAAGTGAGTTAGTTGAATTTAAGAAGTTGAACATGATTATTCACAAGTCTGGGAGCGATCATTTGCAACTGATATTAGAAAATTTACAAATAGGATATGTATATTAATAAGAATAACACATCCATTTGCAAGTGAGCTGGTTCAATTGAAAAAGTTTATCACAAGTCTTGGAATAAGGGTTCACAAGTGAAATTAGGAAATTTGCAACACGGATACACTCGTTAACAATAGAAATACGTCCTTTTGCAAGTAGATTTATTTCATTTAAAAAGTTGAACACGTCAATTCACAAATCTGGAAGTGACTGTTTACAAGTGGAATTAGGAACTTTGCAATAAGAATACATACATTAACAATAAAAATATGTCCATTTGCAAGTCTATTAATTTGTTCACACATTTATATAGTTGCTAGCTAGTTTCAGTTCAGTACTTAGGGCAGTTTACCTCTAAGTACCATCATGAAATTCTCCATCTATTCATAGCCATACAAAATAGACTTCAACTCACGGATTGTCATAGCCACTTCGTGAACCATTCCAAAAATACATATTGAGGTTCATATATACACAAAAAATAGTTGTTTATTAAAACAAAAACAAACTATATTCAGCAATAAAGTCATATAGAGTTTGCGTTCCTGCAAGCTTTTCTAGTTTAACCAACTTCATATCTATACAAAAGGCTCTCGTCCAACACTTGCAGGAGCGGTGATGGAGGCTCTCGTTGCTAGAGCAAGGTCAACAACGAAGGCTCTCCTTAGCAGAGCAATGACGATGGCAAAGTCTTTCCTCACCACAATAGTAGCGACAGTGAGGTGAACAATCTCCTTCATTGCATGAACTGGAATTTTTAGAGAGTGAGCGAGAGGGGCTTCAGATATCAAGATTGAGAGAGAGAGAGAGAGAAAAGATTTCATATTTCAGAGTAATAGTTTGAGGGGTAACACTGTCTTTTTAGTTTTGAAGTTAATTTCAATTCACCCCCATGGTCCTGCAGTGGCTTTTCAGATTGTTTTGGGGGCTCTTGGAAATTAATTGCCTTCGGCGGTCCTTGAATGAAATTTTTCCAAAAAAAAAAAAGTTCCTGTTTTTAAAATTGGTCCATGAAGAACTGTACGTGTCCATAACAAAGAATCTGCATAATTGTATCTTTATTGCAATTCCCAAAGACCCGACACTTGCCTGCAATATTCACCTCGATCTTAGCCCTTCCTCTATTATCAATCTATATCATCATCCTCTCTTTTCCCTACTTCATAATTATTTTAATACGACAAGCCTCAAGCGTGTTTCCCCAGCTTGTCGTGAGAATCTTTCGATTTTTATTCGACAATAGTTTTACTTTTTAAGATATTTTTGATTGCCAGTAAAAAAAAAAAAATCATTCAAATTCAATAGTAGGAAAAGTATAATGTTTGGAGAATGATCCGAAATTATGGCAACCATTTGGGTCTTTGAGAAGAAATTAAAAAAGCATTCAAATGACAAAAATGCCCTTAATAAGTAATAATTGAGAAAAATTGCATAAAGAAAAAAAATTGCATATAAGGAAAGATAGCTTGTAATCAGAAAGATAAATTGTACAAAACATAATTTTGAACAAATGAATCATGAACTGTATTGAAAGGAAGTTAAACTGCACAAAGAAAAAATCGATTATATGAGAAAAGATAGAATGCAAAAAAAAAAAAAAGATTTGTACAAAATGTAATTTGAACAAATTGAATTAAACAAAGAAAAGATGAATTGAATATAGGAAAGAAGGTCTGTATAAAACCTAATTTGAATATAAGAGAATATGGATTGGATATAAAAAAAATTATATATAAGAAAAGTTGTATAGAGAGAAGATGGATTGCACACAGCGAAAACTAAATTGTACAAAGGAAAATGTGATTGTTAACTAACAGGAGTTGGGTCTAACAAAATGGATTAATCTCTCACAACATAATGAATCAAGGTTTGAATCTCTGCTGGGAGAGATGCCTATATTTAGTGTCCGACAGTGTCTCAAATAGAATTATCTCTAATAAGAAGATATCTATGCTTTAGCAAAAAAAAAAGTAATTCTTAAGGATAGTGTAATAATTTCATATGATTATTATTTCTCTTAAAGGATCTCAATGTTTCCCATTATTTCAAGAACTATTCTCCAAATAAATTTTCAATGAGACCAATTTTGATTAATATTGTCACAGTCTCTCGGATGTAATATATTTTTGCAGAAAAAGTGCTTATTTTTAGTTTTTAAGCTTAAGTCTGGTTGTTGATAATAATAGTACTCTCTCACTAACTTATCAAGTACTTTTGCCTAATGGACATTGAACAAGATCTAATACTCCTTCAATTTTTAATATAAGACCTATCTAATTAATTTGATTAGACTAAAAAAGTTAGGTAAGTTAGTTAATTATAAGAAGTGACACATTTTTCCTAAAATACTATAATCATCTTTCTTAATACTTCTCTTCCTCTTCTACTTGATTATGGTTGAAGGAGTATCTATAAAGATAATTTAGAGAAAATTGATAAATATGAGAAATGAGTCTTATATTTAGGATTAAAACTAACTTAAGAATTGAATCTTATACTAACGACTAGAGGAGTATAAATTTTATCATTTATAAGTTATGAAAATGTGATTTATTTACAAAATGTTACTCTATATTTTCTGTTAATATTGACCAGCAAATAAATTGCACTGTCAAAATGGGATTTTTCCTTGGCGCCAGGGCCCGATGAACGACGTCGTTTTTCCGAAGCGAAGAGATCCAAAGAAAGAAGACCGGCCATTTTTGCTGGTAGTACAAAAGACGAGGCATTTCTTATGCGACCGTCACCGGCATCGCACTAGCGTTAGCATCTCAGGAAGAGAAAAGCGTCCAAACCCGAAATCAGATCAAATGGGCAAGGATCTGAGCGACGACCAGGTTGCTTCCATGAAGGAAGCTTTCCATCTCTTCGATACCGACAACGACGGTCGGATCGCCCCTTCCGAGCTTGGGATCCTTATGCGCTCTCTCGGCGGAAACCCCACCCAAGCACAACTTAAAGCCATCATTGCTGAAGAAAATCTCTCTGCCCCCTTCGACTTCCCTCGATTTCTTGAACTCATGGGCAAGCACATGAAGGCCGAGCCTTTCGACAAGCAACTTCGCGATGCCTTCAAGGTTCTCGACAAGGACTCCACCGGATTTGTCTCCGTGTCGGAGCTCAAACACATCCTCACCAGCATTGGCGAGAAGCTCGAGCCTGCTGAGTTTGATGAGTGGATCAAGGAAGTCGATGTTGGTTCCGATGGCAAGATCCGTTATGATGACTTCATTGCCAGAATGGTGGCTAAGTGAGATGATTCCGCATATGGCTTTTCTTCTCTTTTGATGTTTTTATCGACTAATTGGCTACATCTTGTTTATATATTCCCTTCCTTTGTTGGGTGTTCTTGTCGTGAATTTAAGATGTTTCCTGTTACTGGTTTGGCTCCTTTTTTCAAATTTTTACATGTAGTGGACGAATTCACCAAACCATGCTGATCTCTTTTTCTTTTGTTGCCTCCTACCCCCCATCTTGAATATTTTGGGCCCCTATATTTATGTCATGTGGCTAATGTAGGTGGTTTATGGAAACGGTGGCTCCTCGTTCTCCTTCGATTTTCTGTCTTTACTTTGGATTTGCATGAAATCTGACATATTCTCTGTGCGCGCGCTCGCTCTGTAAGTTTTGGTTATCTGGATTGATGAAGTACTGGTTCAGCAAATTTGTGAATATCCTATTCTTCCCATACGTGATAGTGTTCAGAATTTGAAAGGCAAAAATCAGGAAGAAAAATGGATGGAGAAGAGAGCAAGAAAGACATACAGAATAGCAGGGAGAAAAGATAAATATTCTCGAACACCTTCCCATGCTTTTATCAAATCCGGATTCTCTCAATCTTAGGAGGAACAATAATCAGTTTGAGAAATCTTAGCCCTCCAGTGAGTCTGGATGAACAGATCTAGATCGTTTAAAATAAATGGAAGGGATTGAATTAATTGAAAAGAACAGTAATTTTTTTTTTTCCTACTCCAACTTGGTGGGATCCTTAAGTATAGAGCCTCTTACTTGCTATTACAATAATAATACCCTCATAGTTCTATCATGACTGTAGCGCCCTTCATTACAATTCTATTCCCCGTCAGGATTCCCCACAAAACACCATTGACCTGCCACAAACTCTTTGTCAAAACAATTAATTGCGGTTAACTATAGCAGTTCTCGTGTATTTGTATGAAATTTGAGGTAAGTCATACTGTTCACGGCTTGTGAACTTTGTGGCTTCTCACAACTTTTTACAGGTAGATTGATATGAAGAATACTGAGGGCAGAGGACTCTACAAGTAACATCATGGTACTTGATTGACCTCGGATCACTTTGAGTTAACTTACACCTACTTTGAATTGCCTCTTATTACATTGCTTACCAGTGCTTCTAATCAACCAGCATCAAATAATATGTGAAACCACATTATTACAATCCAAACACAGCCATTGTTCTTTAGTCTTATTGAAGTTTGCCACTCGTTGATTACCTATTTTCTGCTACTTGCGAAAAGCAAGAAGAAAGGAAAAGAGAGGAAATCCTAGGCGTTGCATATAAGAGAATTCATTAATGTATGGAATTAGTTCTCAAGTGACACAAACTAACTCCATAAAAGTATTTATCAAGGGCACCGCCATCCGCTTCTTAAGATGATGGCAATTCAATAGCCAAAACTATTACAGTGTCCTTGGAAGCACCTCTATCTCCATAGGCTCGACAGCCAAATTTACTGCTTATAATGCCCATGATCCATTTCAGACCCTGCCCAATTTTGGCATCAATTCATTATGAAAATCCATTTCTTCCTTTTGATATTAAAAAATGCAGAAAAAATTAATCATATATTCTGCTTTGCTTATCTTTGCATCTGTTACACATTTATCTCTTATGGTTTGGGGCTAATCTGGTAGTGTCCGACAAGGTTTTTGACTTTTGATAGTAAACAGCTTCACTTCACTTGATACTCTGGTTCCAGCCCAGGTAGTAATAGCTTAATTTCTAGTTTTCTGACAATGATGTCATAAGCAAGACTATCAAATGACTTTTGGTGATCAAGAATGTTCACATTTTGCTTGATTTCCATCAATGCTTAAAAGGGATCATCTGACATTGCTCGGAACTGAATATCAAGTTCTACAAAACTGTATCATGCTAATCTACCCTTTATACTCTTCTCAAACTCTTTGAACCATTTGAATCCTTGCTCACGATGAACAAAACCTGCAAGAAACACTTTATTTGCTTCTGGTGTTTGGTCCAACAAGAAAAAAAATGCTCACTTAGCAAGCCATCCAGTTACATTGTCTCTAATAAATTTTGGTAGGGTTACCTTAGCAAGTCTATTAGGCACCCGGTAATCTCCATCAAGTTCACTTGCTTCTGCACATGCTTTCCAATCTTGATTTCTGTTCATCCATCTTGTAAAGTGGAATGAAAGACTGTCAGTCAATTAGTGGGGCTCGTTTTCTTTGTTATACATGGCTAAATTAATCACCGATAGGAAATGTTCATCTCTCTAGTTGAGTATTAAATGGAATCAATATTTGATTTCCGTTACTGAAGCTTGTGCTTCATTGATGTCTACCATGGCCAAGAATCGGCCACTGGATCACTGCTCTTCTAACAAAATCCTTTGATCCTCTGCTGTTTGAATCTCTTTATCATGTTGACCCATCATCTATCAGAAAATTTCTCATTACACTTACAACTTTAGATTTCATTGCCTCCGCGATCATTAACCATTGGTTTACCTGTGATAAGAATTGGAATTTGAAGGGGTAAATTTAAGAGGAAGAAGAGGAAAAGGATAAGAGATCAAGAAAGAGAAAGCAACTTGGAGGAAAACAAACCTTCTTTATGTCATTTGACAAGTCTTCTCTGTACCACCAATGACCAGTCGGTCTAGTGGGATTAGGCACTAGGTCCCTTGAGCAATGTCCAGGCTTCAAATCCTGGAGTTGTGAATGGAGCTGCTGGCTTTGGAGGTCGCCCCCGATATGGGCCTTCGCGGTATCTGAACTGGATTAGTTGGCTGTTTGGGCTGGATATCGGTGTGCTCGCCCAAAAAAAAAAGTCTTCTCCGTACATTTATATGCTTTTAACATGGAGGTATAGAGCTGATTACTTGATATTTATAATAATACCCTCAATTTTGTTGTTATATTAGTGTCCTTCATTACAATTTTGTTCCCTATCAATGTTTTTCAAGCCTGTTCTTGAGGTGAGCTAAGTCCAAGTATGCAGTGAGGCAGTGATTGAAGGGTATAATTTTCTGTCATTTTCATATTGTGATTGTAAAATTCATGACTCTTGGTATGGCTTGAGTTAATCTTATTCTGGTGTGCTTATACGGTATGTTGTTCTCTTAACGATGTCTTAACCTCAAGCCTTTTAAAATGCTTCGTGTGGCTGTTTCTTTTATTTCTTACCACATGTGATTTAGTTGCAAGCAGCTTTTGTTAAGGAAAAACCAGAATAGAGAATGCGATATACAAAAGATTAATGGGAAAGTTAGTATCAGCCGACACTAACATAACACATCAGGTGGTAATTCAGGCGTGTCAATTGCTGCTTGCATTCCTTAAAAGTTGTTGGTTTTTTGATTGATTTCATGAGCAGCCTTTGGCATGTAATGTAACGAAGAAAATCTGTCTCTAATGACCATAATTTTTTAAGTTTGCTTAACATGAAATTTTGATTTGCTTTCTTATACAATCTGTAATATTCCTCCTCCCCCCCCCCCCCCAATATTGTTTCTGGAAGTTTGTTTTGAACCGTCTCTGAAGAAATCCTTCTTTCAGTCTAAGGAGGCTGATCTGCTCAAATCATTGTGTCTTCTAGTGTAGACAGTTACTTCATAGCACGTAGTACAGTGCCACAATTTCGTGGTTCATATTACAGTGGTTGGATAACACCACAGCCATGGCATGGCCTGCTTCATATGGTGCAGGCTTGGTGTGAACTATCTGTGCGGCTGTGCCAGCGCTAGTACTGGTTGGGTAACACCATAGGCATGGTTTGTTGCCAATTTCATTTGGTGCACACATGGTGTGTGCTGTCTGTGCCATGGGCAATGGTACATTGTGTCCACCATGTTTGAAATTTGAAAGGGTTTTATTTCAGAAAGCCACTTCCCTTTTTTGTTCGTTAATCAGTCCATGATAAACCTGTCATGAACAAGCAGGACTGGGGTTACATGCGAAAGTTCTATGGATTGTTGGTCAAATACGTAGATACCATTTCCATACTGGCTGTTACTCTGGACTAGTGCTGAAGGGGCATGCAAAGTCCAATGGTGTATAGGAAAGGTAAAGGTATAAAGATGCTGCTAGGCAGATCTCAACCTAAGGAGCAAAGGGACTGGATGCATCTTTGGTAGCGAGTAGTGATTGTGAGCTTAGTAATAAATTTCAATGAGGATAGAGTATTTCATTGGATGCTTGAAATGTGAGCTTTAAATTCTCTTGAGAAGGCTCATGGATCTTTCAGTGGATGCTTAATTGTGAAAGTTTGATCTCAATAGTAGTTTGTGATAAATGGGGATGCAGAATTTGGTATTTGACACGTAATACTTCATGTTTATGTTTATAGAGGCATGGATCTTATATGTGATGCTACGCTAATATCCTGTGAAGGTCGAGGCACCTCAAGGAAGTGCTGTGTTCTGTGTGAGGATAAAATTAAATTATACCTAATTAATTGGGATTGTTGCCAAATGAAGCATTGTAGTTTTCATATTTGGACGTATTTTGTAGATAAAGATTTATTGAAGAGGGATGTAGAAGAAACATCATGCGAGTTTTTTCTCCCTTCTTTTAGGTACATTAGGATGTTTGATATTTGGATCTTTCCTTGTATCTCATCTTATTCTCGTTACTCAAGAAAGATTCATTCTTTAGACATCTAAACGATTGGAACCTTAACAATTTAACACGTACGCAAGCACATGTTTAGACCTGTAACCTCCTTCCCGGAGAGAGGACTTTGTGCCCCTAGACCTTTAAACATTCATATGTGTAGCTCATTAATTAAATTTTATATATGCTATGGGGCAATGCATAAAATGAAAGAGGGAGGACTTTATTTTTGTACGCATCATACATCTATTGGAATCTCGTGATTCGTTCCATAATATTGAAGAACTCAAATGTGATATCTCAATCTCGAAAATTCATGAATGACAATTGATATAGAACGACAAAAGAGAAAGGGAAAAAAGATTTTAAAAAAAAGAATATGAAAATTATGAAATTTCAATTTAGGCACTTAATGCTTTAAAATCCTAGAAAAGAAAATAGTGTCTAATTTGATATTTTACAAATGACTAAAATATTCTTGTTTCAAACTTGTTATTACTAATAAATTTCTTGTCATGTGTTAGTCAATAATTGTCATCATTAGTTCGTTAATAAACTTTTTAAAATAAGAGTATTCTAGTTATTTAACTACATTTACAAAATATAAGATCAGATACCTTTTCTTTTTGTTGAGAATTTTGAAGTGTTAGTTGCCTGAATTTAGATTTCACAATTTTCAGATATTTTTTCGTCATTTTCCCAAAGAGAAATAAAGGATTTATGAAAATTAAACTGGCAAAAACATTCTTAATACAGAGTTATTTATAAAAAAAAAAGTTCTAAGCAGTGTGTTTTCATGACCCAAAAATTACTTCTAAAAAGTGCTTTTATAAAATTTGAGACAAAATTTTTTTTCACATACTTACTTCAGGTATGTTTGGATTAGTGGTGACAAAATTGATTTTTATTCTATCTATCTTTTGCAAATGTGAGTTGGAGTAAAAATCAATTGGTGTAATGTGATTTATGTTTAGATTGATTTTTATAAAAAAATTAGTTTGAAAAGTTAAAATTTGTTTAAATTGATAATAAAACAGTAAGTTTAAATATAAAATGATTTAAAAAGAACATAAATTTTATTAAATAGTACTATCTCTAGTTCTTAATATAATATCAATTTATAATAATGACAAACTAGTTTGGAAAAAATAATAAATATAAATATATTAAGATAATTTATTAATTTTTTTAATCTTCTCATACAAGTCAACTAAGTTTTGGATTAAGAGCCGAAAGTAGTATATGCATGTTATATGCATAATTTGATAGTTTTAAGAGGAATATTAAAATTAAAAATTATAAAAATAAAAGATAATAAATGTCTTATTGAAAAAAATTTGAAAATAATGGGGACCTTTTTTTTTGAGTTTTTCAGAATAATTTTATCTATGTAATGAGTACATCCAGGGTAAATTAGAATAATTTAATTTTATTTGGAAAAAAATTTATCTTTTATTTTATTAAAATAATGTGAACTCACCTTTTTATCTCTCTCTTCCTTTTTGAACCAAAAAATGTATTTGGATCAGTGCTAGCAAAATTAACTTTTAACTTTTGTAATAGTCAGGTTAAAAGTGACTCAGTGAGATGTGATTTATGTTTAAATTGATTTTTATAAAAAGTTAGTTTGACAAATTGAAAATTGTTTAGATGAGTAAAGAAAAAACAAGTTTAGATATAAAATGACTAAAAAGAATATAAATAATATATATAAATAAGAGATAATTAATTCACAGGTCCTTATAGTTTCAACCAATTTTGAATCAAATCCTTATAATTTTTTTCTTTTTATCAGGCCCTTATACTTCCACCCGTTTTTAATTAGGTCCTTACATTTACTTTTCTTTTTATCAAGTCTTTATAAGTTCATCTTATTTTTAATTAAGTCCCTGAATTTTTTATTCTTTATTTTATAAATTCTAATAGTACTATTCTATAAATATAAAATAGTATATATTATTTAATATTAGTTTATAAACAATAATATTCTAAAGATATTGAATTATTATAATGATTTTATTTTTTCAGCAAAAAAAATTAATTGTTCTAAAATTTTTTCCTGAATTAATTAATTCTATTACTTTTTTATTATATAATTATTAATTTAATCTAATTATTAATATTTTATATTTCAGTATTAATCTATTTAATTAAGCTTATATTTAATTAATAAATAAAAATTAAAACTATATGGACCTGATTAAAAATTTAGTAAAATTATAAGAACTTAATTAAAAGAAAAATAAATACAAGGACGTAATTAAAAATAGGTAAAAGTATAAGGACTTGATAAAAAGAAAAAAAAATAGGGACTTGATTTAAAATTGGTTGAAACTATAAGGATTTGTAGATTAATTAACCCTATAAATAATATATATAATTTGATAGATTTAATAGAAATATTAAAATTAAAAGTATAAAAATAAAAAGAGTTAATTTATTATAAGAAAACATTATACATACTAGAAAAACACTTAATTAGATATATTTAATGTAACTTATTTAGTAGTATATCCAGCATCTTAAAATATTTTTTTAAGTACGTCTAGTATCCTAAGTTACATTTAGGTACATTTAGCACCCTAAAATAACTTTTTTAGGTGCATTCAATACCTTAAATTATTTTTTAGTGCACTCAATATCTTAAATTGTTAAAGGTAAAATTACACCAAACAATATTTTAGGGTGCTAGATACTTAAGATAATACTTTAGGGTACCAGATACATCACTAAATACTTTAAGGTGTTGACTATACTTAAAAAAAATATTTCAAGATACTATATATACTTTAACCTTTTAGGTTAAAGTGTAAATTCACCCCGGAAGTTTGGTTTTGAAGCATTGGGTATCCACAAGTATTTTTTTGGTTCAATGTCGCCTTGAAAGTTTTCAAATCATAGTAATGCCGCCTTAGCCATTATCTGGGTTAAGTTTGGCCGTTAGTTGACCAATTATGCTGAGTTGACATATTCACGTGTCATCCACGTTATTTTCTTTCTTGGGTTAAGTGCACATTTGCCCTGGAAGTTTTTACTCAGGAGCGCTTGGTATCTGGTAGTTTTCAAATTATAGTAATGTTGTCCTAACTGTTATCCATGTTAAATTTGATCATTAATTAACCAAATATACTAAGCTCGTAGGTCCACGTGTGATCCACTTTATTTTTTTTTTGAAGGTGAGGATTTAGCTCTAACTCTAGGAAAATCATTGCTTCTACGCTTTTCAAACCCATGGCTATTCTCAATATGGACTTCATCATTTACATCTTCCCAGACACGTTTGCATTCCACATCAAAGATCCAGACACGTTATGTAAAAGTTATCAAAACTTGCAATAGCTTTTAAAGACCTGTTTGGAATAACTATAAGTAACTTTTTAAATGTGATTTATAAAATAAGATGTAAGTATGTGAAATGAGTTTTGTTTTGACTTACATAAAATATACTTATAAGTACTAATAACTGCCAATCCAAATAGGTCCCAGGTCAGTTAGCAACCAAAAGTCATTTGGAGATGATGCCATTCCAAACATGAGCAAATGGGTTTTTTTTCTCCTTTATTGCGCGTTCAACCCCTCGTACAGCTAAGCCCTTAAATAGTAATTCCACGACCAAATGTTTATTAGGTGCGTTGTTTTCTGTAGTATATTGCAACCATAAGTTCATAATCCACTAGTTGGTCTTGAGATTAATTGTAAGCGACACATATATTTATATCCATATGTAATATAAAAAATCTAATAAAATATATTATTCATCAATGTTAAATAACACTCTGCTCTTATTTATAAGAAATATTTTAAAAAAAGATTTATTCCTATTTATAAAAGATACTAATAGGTTATTTAAAATTTTTGGTGTCATTTTTTATTTTTCTCCCATTAATTATTTCATTGATAATTAATTAATTTTAATTAAAATTTCAATTTACATAATTTGAAGCAAATAATCTATGAAGCGACGTCGGTTTTATTGGTCCGTCCGTCGTATTTTAGAGAGCTACGGTCTTCACAGTATAGAATTGCTAGGGTTTTGTGAGTCACTCCGTGTCTCCGTGATCTCTGAGGTGAGCATCTCGAGCCTGGGTTTGAAGGCCGCTCAGTTCTGAGAAGATGGGTCGTATGCACAGCCGTGGGTTCGTACAGTTTTATCTTCTCCATCAGTTTCCTCTGTTTCATAGTAAAACTTGTTTTTCTGATTGCCTTTCTTTGGTTCTGTGTTGCAGTAAGGGTATCTCAGCTTCGGCGCTGCCCTACAAGAGAACCCCGCATAGCTGGCTCAAGATCTCTGCGCAAGATGTAAACCCACTTCAACTCTATTGGTGATTAACTTCATGTAATTTCTTCAATGCTCACAATTCTGCTTTATTTAGGTTGAAGATAATATCTGCAAATTCGCCAAGAAGGGTTTGACTCCGTCCCAGATTGGTGTCATTCTCCGAGACTCCCACGGTATTGCGCAGGTCAAGAGCGTCACCGGCAACAAAATCTTGCGCATTCTCAAAGCCCACGGTATTATACTATTTTTATCTGATCTGCCATATAAGCGCGCGCGCCCGTATATATTCATGTTTGTATGATGACATTGAAAAATTTCCACTTTGGTTTTCAGGACTTGCGCCCGAAATTCCCGAGGATCTTTATCATTTGATCAAGAAGGCAGTTTCAATCCGCAAGCATCTTGAGAGAAACAGGAAGGACAAGGACTCCAAGTTCAGGTTAATTCTGGTCGAAAGCCGAATTCACCGGCTTGCTCGCTATTACAAGAAAACTAAGAAGCTTCCACCAGTATGGAAATAGTAAGCACCCTGCAACCCGCTTGTGCTTTTTCCCCGCCTCTATGTTTAATATCATCTATATGATTTCTAGGATATTCAAAATTCAATTTCAGGTTTGTTCATCTGGCTTCTCATTTAGATACAGCCGCCTGTCGATTAGGGAGTCCTCTGTTTTAGAATGAGCCATGTCATTACACATATTACTTTGTGAGCCAGAACTATAGATTTATCAATGAAGATTAGGCCGACACCCTATTTGACTATGTCGTATTTTCTTTTAATCGGTCCAGAACTCAAATTATGTGAATATGAGATGGTAGAGTATATATAATGCTGCCACACTTTGGCAATATAGATTCAAGTACACGTATTCAACTTATTTTTTTCCTTGTGAATGGGCCTAACGCTGCTTGCTATTTGACAAATGTGGATTTAATTTTTTTCCACCTTGGCACATGTCAAGGACCTCCTGGTAATAGTTAGTTTATTCATCCTTCATCTGATTGAACTACGCCAGCCTGCATAAGTCAATCACATGTTTTGGGTTTTTCTAGCTTCTATAGTGTTTCGGATTCTAAAATGTTCCATAAACTCCACAATTGTATCGAAAGCAAGTTGATGCATTGTTTTGAATTGGTTCTCATTCATTTCGGTAACTATGAACATGCCCTTTGCAATACTGATATGCTTCTTATCTAGTTTTCAAGGACCGGAAAATGTTTGGAGGGAAAGGTGGGGACTAGGGGGAAGGAAGTTATGATTTATAACCTTTCATTCAAGTTATTGTAAATAGTGTCATAAAGCTTTCCGCCTATAAGGTCTGTTGATGGAACGACCAAATGATTATTTCTAATTGATATCAGGGCGGACGTACAGTCATAGATTTCTCTGCCTTTCAAGAAGCACTTTTCCATTTCATGGCTTACAAAAAGTGTGGCTTATTGTGGTTTTTATATTATATATAGATGATATATTGATAATTGACTATTTTTTCAATTTTAGTCCTTGATTTCAATTGAAAATCTCAGTAGTGGGCTGTATAACTTTTTGAGCTGCAACACCGCTGTATGATGCTTTCCATGTTTGAAGCTTTTCACTGTGCGCGTACTATTTCTTAATGTGTTTCGAAATTTGCAGTGAATCAACAACTGCCAGCACCCTGGTTGCTTAGGGGATGCTTCAGTTTCAGTCTTCCAAGCTTTTGAGGATTCGTCTTGTGGGGGCTGAGGGGTATGTGATGAGGATTCAGGCATTAAGCTAGTTTTTACTTGTAGTTTTTAATCTTTGCATTGGCATATTCTGAACAACTCCTGTTAAGCTATGATTTACTGCATTTTACTGCTTATGCGTTATATATATCGATCATAGTTTTTTACTAGAGTCGACAACATTCAGTTTCATTTTTAGTGAGGATGGGATGGGAACAAACCAGATTAATGTCGTTCATGATGACAAAGCTCCAGATCAAATGGGTAACGAAAAATTTGTGCTTCACATTTTTTATTTCTTGTACTTCGTTTCTTTTTATGAGAAACAACTACCTACGTCAACAGTGTAGGTTAAATTAGTTGCAAGATTTAAATGATATAGATGTAACTTTATTTTCAAAAATTCCTTCATCTATTTAATGTAACCCCAAGAAATTGACTTCTTTTTTTTAAATGCACCGGAAAGAAGAAATTGACTAATGTTTTGTTAACGAGAGATTACCTCTCCTTTTAAATGAGAGGGGATGGGTGAAAAATTTTAATAAATGCTTAAGAACTTTTACTGGGAAAATTAATTTTTTGATTCAATTTAATTCTTTCACTATAATCGGGTGGAGCTCATGCCTATAACTTAGTCTTAGAACTTTTGATTTTTTATATTATAATTCAGTTTTTGAACTTCTCACGTTTAATAATTTAACCTTTATTGTGCGTAATTTAGTTTTAAGCATAAAATAATTATCCTACATGGCAAAACATTATTTTAACATCATTAAAAATTGCAAACGTCATCCAAGTTTGTGCAGACTTGATACATCTTTTAAGATAAAAGAAGAGCATATGGCGCACGCAGCCCGTCATCCTCTCCTCGTCTCTTTCCTCCTCACCACCATTTGATATGGATGTTCATTTAAAAAAAAAAAAATTAGCAAATGCGCATAAGCTGAGTTAGAAGCTGTGCAAAGCTATTGATCATCTCTAGCTTGGCATTTTGGTTGTTGAAAGTAGGGGTTTTGGTCTCATCAAAATGCAACATAAATTTTTCTCTATTCGTTTTTAAATTATATTACTACTTTGAGTTCTTAATATAGGATTTAGTTAGAGGGTTAAATTTTGTCTTAAATATAATACCTCAACTAACTCTATCTTTCATATTTATCATTTTCTCTCAAGCTAATTTACCTAACTTAAACTAATATATAATTGATTAATATTATACATGGTTATTTTAGAGAGATCATATTATATTTGTTATGATTGTGTAATTCATTAGACTTCTTTAATCTATCCAAATTAATTAAGTACTACTCCGTCCCTTATTATAAGATCCTTTTGACTAAATTACGAGGTTTAAGAAAACAGTTAAAATTAGTTAAAAATCATTAATAACAGGAAGCAGAAGAGAAGCTAACTCGGGAGTAAAGGATGACAGATTTAGGGAGGGGGACTGAGTAGTTAAAAATCATTAATATGTAGTAAATGTAATTTTTTTCCAAAATATGCCCCTATATATAAATGGGTAAATGTGAGAGAGTAATAGTGAGATAAATGAAAAAAGAGAATGTATTAAATACATTAAGTTAGGGGTAAAACAAGTAATAATGTATTAAATACTTAGACAAATTCAAAGAGAATCTTATAAAAAGGAACATACCCATTCAAAAAATTGAATCATATAATAAGAGACGAAGAGAGTAACATTTATGTTAAGAATCAAAGGGAGTATTGATGATTATGATGATCAGGGTGTTCTTGGGTAGTTTAATCAATGCTTCTTGCCCTATTACATTCGTCAAGGGAAGCCCCTCTGCCACTTGCAGGCTTTGAATATTCTATTCAAACATCATTATATATTTTACCATTTTGCTTCGTAACTAATATTGTCTGTTAAATAATGTTTCCTTTGTTTATATGTATATATAAATCGTGTGTGTAAATATTTTTTATTTATACATTTATAATGCCATACTGTCTTATATTGCTTCCACTCTAACTAAGACCAACATAGCATGGAGCCAATCTGGATTCTTCAATCCGATGAATAAATTTCAACATTCACAATCTATGGATGGTATAATTTGTTATAGAATTGATTGCATATATGCATTTTACAACTTCTACTAGAAGAGAGATTGAAAATTAAATATCATACCCTAATTTCATAATGAAGAGTCATCTCAAAAATTAGAAATCAAATTGAGGAGCATCGCTGTTGCCTCAGAGCTGTTTAAACTGAAGCCAACTTTTTAGTTCCTTCTCCTCTAAGTTAGAGGAGACGTAGTAGATTGGGTTGTGTGTCACACACACACACATATATTCCTCAATAAAACCAATAAAAAATTGATTATATATTCATAGATATAATCATTTATTAATCAAAACCATGTTTTGCTATTAAAAAAATTGCGGTAATTTTTTTTCTTATTGTTATTATTATTCATCCACAAGCTTGTGTTAATGGTTAAGATTACAAGGATGAACAATATCTTTAAAACTTCTGCCGACAAGATCCAGTTAAATATGATGCTAACTATGGGGACTATTAGATCAATTTTCCCCATATAGTTGTTAATTTATTTAATTATTTTTTACATTGTATTATCATGATTCATGCCATTTGAGACATTTCATTTCCCATCCTTATGGAATATAACTGTATACAGTTTCTAACCATTTTCCTATCTCTCAAGAAAAGGAAAAATGAAAGCCATATCAATCTTAAATGTTGAAGTAAACTGTATAAGTTTCATCTCTGAAGGAGTATAATGGCTCCAAAACAAAATTCTTCTTTGCCCCTTTAGCCACAAAACTAATGGAATCATATTGGCTGAATCCTTCTATTACTATAAAACTTGCAGCTTGATTGAAGTTAGCATCATAACCAGACTTGCATCTCAGTTTCACACTTGCACTAGAACCTGTACTACACACAAAGCAACCTTTATTGCCTTTGGATTCTAAGGATATAGTTCCCTTTTGCCCATCCAATCCTGCAACCACATTAGACTCACTAGAGAGTCCACCATTGGATGAATTTGCAATGACAAGACCATTTTTTGCTCCTTGGTGCAACAGGAACTTTCCAAGAAGATCATATGGTTCCAACATTACTGATTTACCAATAGGAATGAGTTTGAAAGTTGTATGAGGGGCTTTTCATTGCCAGGTCCAGGTAATTTTTGCATTGTGAGAGATTGATTTGAGTTTGTTAAAGCAAAAGTTTAGCCTGAAATAACTTGGGAAAGAGTTGCTAGTTGCCTATTGTAAAAAGTAGGGATAGGAGTAATCCAGTTAGTAATAGATGCATTTGTCCTAGTTTTAATGTCCCAATCACTAGACGTATGGCCAGCAAGAAGATAAGGACCATAAAGAATTGCTTGAACAGAAGCATATTCAGATCTGTCATCTAATTAGTTGGATTCAATTCAAAATACAATATTAGTAATGAAAAACTTTTCTCTTTGTATGTAATGGAAGTTAAAAAAATAGATGGATTTTTACCTTTTATGGCTTCTGTTCTAACAGTAAGAGGAAATTGAAGGGTTAGCTTGTCATTGGTACTCCATTTTCTTGTGATTGACAAAAAATTTCCTACATGTCCAAAAAATAAAATTTACTTTCAAATTTTAGCCTCGTTGTAGTACTAGTTGACGTTGAAAAGAGTAAAGCACCAGGAGATGGTAGAGATAAAGTCTGATCATTTAATAAAGCCTTGGCATTGTCTAAATGTGTCCACGTTGGTATTCTAAAGTTCAATGTAAAAGAAGATCTAGCTCCCTGCAAAAGACAATATTTCAAGTTTAGGTATTAAATTGTAACGCTCCTTTTTTTAATGACATAACCACTAAGTAAAAAGTGGATGAGAACAAAAGAAACCAAGCTTGCACCAAATTAAGCATGATGATGATGCTAAGTCTAAAATCATTAAAGATGAATGTTAGGAAATGTTATAAGTACCATAGCAAGAGAGAATGTGAAGGTGATTCTAAGGTAAGGATCCCATAAAGTAGTAGGAGCCAAAGTTTGATTAAACATGAGATCCCTTGACTTCCAATTGAAAGAGCTTGATATGTATTGGATTATGTAAAGTGTTAAGTTCTCTTGTTCAAAATAAATTGAATCCCCTAACTTTGAGAATGATTCAATCCCTAATGAATAATCAAAATAGAACGGTGGATAGCATAAGAGCATGCAAGTTCGAGTTATGAAAGGATATATTATAATCTCATACAATGTAAGAGATTAAATGAGCACAACATTAGGATTACCAATTCCATAGCAGCACCAAAAAGAGTCAAATTTTGTTCTCCAACTATGTAAAGACTTAGCCTTTGAAACTCCAGGGCCAAGAGGGAGCATATAAATCATCACTCTAGGATCTGTGCCTCTTTGAATACTCAATACACCATTTGTTAACGCACGTTCATAATAATCTGCGTATGTTACTTCCTTGGTCCATCTAAATAAGTGTCTTGAAACCTAAGAAATTACTATGTCAATTTTTCATTATAACAGGAGCTTCAAAGTTTTTTCCTTAATATACTTTTCTTTCTTTAAGAGTTCTATCAAAAGCTAAAAAGATAGATGATTACCTACCTTCAACATGTTATAAGTTGAGCATGATTCTTTAATTTCTACATTTGTTAAGATGTTATCTGCTATTCTCTTAGGATCATGCCTATACAAAAAAGAAATCAATGAGCAACTGTTATGACAAGAGGGAACCAAAAACTATTACTCTATAATCATTTAAAGTTCATATGGAAACATGACACTAAAATTAATTAATCAAGTCACATTACCACCACTCTGAAACTAAAGTCCTTCTAGTTGCATAACTGTGAGAAGAGTTAATAAGATCCATAAAAAAAATGTTCCAATGTCCTATCAAAGCAAAAATGCATCAACAAATATAGTTAGAAACTAATTATTGGGTTTTAAATGTTAGTTATCTTCATGTTTGGACATAAGGTGTTTCACAAGACATTAACCATGATAATTAGACTTGATAATTGAGAAGAAAACATAAAAATTAAACTCTATAAATGATATAAATAAACATATATGAAAATATTTAAAATCAGGCTAACATTATAGTAAATAAACATGATATAATATATACATAAGTAAAGATTTACCTTATAAAGTGAATCACCAGTAACTTCATATCTCATTTGAGATCCAACAACAATTGGTATATGCGTATTAGCATGTAAGTCGATAATATCATCAGCCTAGGTGAAAAAAGAATAAGAGAATTTTAAAATTTTT